AAAACACAATACCTTCATCCCCTGTAGGCACATCTTCTACAGTGGTGCGTGATCAGGGTGGTTTCATTTAGATCCAAACCAGTACATGTGAATCTGTGAGTCTTAACCGAGCTGGTGAAACGCAGGGTTGCCTCACTGTGGAAATGACTTATGCAGTAGTATTAAAAATTCATAAATTGTTTGCAGAGTTGTTTTTTTTTTTCGCTGACTTTCATCGTTTGTTTTTTCCTTCTGTTCCTTTCCCCCTTTCATAACACAGCATGTCGCCAGCCCCTTAGGAACATTACAACACCAGGCCTTAATAAAGGTTTTGTGCACAGCAGAAGAGAATTTACAGATTGCAAAAATGAGCCTTTTCTGTGCTTGAGGAGAATCATGATTTCTTTAGTAGTTTTTTTTTAAGGTATTGTAATTTAAGTTTTGCAGTCAGCCCTGTATTGCATTGAGCGTTGCATGTAACACACATTACAGTCAGATTGTCTCATAAGAATAATGTATTGTTTTTGCTGCTTTTTAAAATCAGAACCCCGGTCGATCATACATTTTCCTTTAAACTCAATTGCTGCAAAACGAATTAAAGGGGGCTGTTTCTGGGAAAGTCTGCTTTTAAGTGTCTGGATTGTTCTCAGATTCAGACAATTGCTGGAAGCTTCCCCAGGTATGGAGCGGTACTGAGTTTCACTTTATCCTATCCAAATGCAGTTTGGCAGAAGAGAAAACCTCCTCACAACTCGCAAGGTTACGTGAGGAGGTTGTGAACTCAGCATGCAATACACAGGGGAAAAGAGATTTCAGTTAGGATAATGTCGATGTCTGAATGTCCGAAATCTTAGCATTTCTCCTTCATTTCAGTCACATTTTACAGTTTTGCTGTAGGAAAGTGCAAGACCTAATTTCGTTTAGTACTGCTTAAATATTTATTAAACAGCACCATCAAGTGTGTGATACTGTATCGTGATTTTGTGTGACCTTCTGTGGTGAGCCATAGTCTTCCTGTTGGCACTGAGCTCCTAAAGCCAGGGCTGCTCAGAGGCAGTAGGCTGACAAGTGTCTGGCCTGCGTGCCAGTGAAAAAACATCGTTCTTTGAAGGTATCACAAATAATTCAGCGGCACCAGCTAAAATCCGGGGAATCTACTTTCTTGATTTTACAAAGAGAATCGGCACAATTTAATTGGTCCTACAAGTATTTTGAAGCGTCCCAGCCCTTACGCGTTCAATTATTCATGCACTAAAATGCTTGCGTGGGGGTTTTTGTTCTTGTTTGATCAACGCTGAAGTGTTGCATTTGTGTCACTCAGTGTAACACTTTTAGAGTTTGGGTATAAAAGTATAGATGGATGCAATGCGAAGTGGTCTGGTGGTGTTTGCATTTGTAGCCAGCAGCCATATCACCCCGCAACTCGCAACTGGCAGCCCCACTGGAGCTCAGCAGGTGTGAGCCTGGTCAGTACCTGGATGGGTACTGACCTCCTGGGAAAAACTAAGGCTGCTGCTGGAAGAGGTGTTAGTGGGGCCAGCAGGGGGCGCTCATTCTGCGGTCTGTGTGGGTCCTAATGCCCCAGTGAAGTGATGGGGACACTCTACTGTAAACAGGCGCTGTCCTACGGATGAGACTTAAAACCGAGGTCCTGACTCTCTGTGGTCATTAAAATCCCAGGGCGTTTCTCGAGAAGAGTAGGGGTGTAACCCCGGCATCCTGGCCAAATTTCCCATTGGCCCTTACCAATCATGGCCTCCTAATAATCCCCATCTCTGAACTGGCTTCATCACTCTGCTCTCCTC